GCTTCTACGGGGCGGCCCGCGAGGACTTCCCCTACGAGCGCCGGCCGCAGTCCCAGGCGAACATCCCCAGCGACCAGGGCGACTTTTACTACATGGGGGCTTTTTTCGGGGGGTCGGTGGCCGAGGTTCTGCGGCTCACCTCGGCCTGTCACCAGGCGATGGTGGCCGACGAGGCCTATGGCATTGAGGCCTTGTGGCACGATGAGAGCCACCTGAACAGGTACCTGCTGGACCACAAGCCCAGCAAGGTGCTGTCCCCCGAGTACCTGTGGGACCAGCAGCTGCTGGGCTGGCCCGCCGTCATGAAGAAGCTGCGCTTCGTGGCCGTGCCCAAGAACCATGCAAAGATCCGGAACTGATGTGCTGGGGGGTGGGGGGGGGGCAGGAGCTCTCCGTGCCCAGCGCGGTTGGCCTTCACAGGTCTTCTGCTGGGAAAGGGATCACCCAAAGATCTGATGGCAGATGAGTCCCTGTGCCTCAGTTTCCTCTTCTGGAGAGACTCCCGCCACTCACCAAGCACACCCGGTCCTGTTTTTTCATCTCTCCCTAATCCTGCCCTGTATTTAAGCTCAGCTCTCCCTTCGTGGTGCCGACAAGGTCCCCCTCCCCAGCAAGGCTTCTTCGTCTCTCCCTCCTGCCATTGAGCCGCTCTGCAGCTCTAGAAAGCACTAAGTGTATTCCTTCTGTTAGATCTGCCATTCTGCTCGCATTTCCAACGTGTCTTGCCCATTACAGTGTGAGCTCCTGAGCCAAGAGGCTGAGATTTCTCCGCCTTTGTCTAGGTCAGTTCCGACCACAGGGCCTTGTGCCCGGAGACTCCCAAAACATGTTCACATTTGAGTTTAAGTGACCCATAAAAACCCAGGACACTGTGTGTGGAGACAAAGGGAGCAACCTAGCGGGAAGCACTTTGTGGGTTTGGTCCCAGTGGGTTGGGGGCTTGTTGCTTTGGGTGGTTGGTCTTTTTCTTCTACGATTTCTGGCAGTTTGTTACATGCTTTTGGTCATAGTACTTTTCTCGGACACACGTTAAAAACGCCTTCTTG